TTTGTTTGACAGCACACAGTGTGTCCTCAAACTAAACCATACAGAAATATTTTATATATTTTATAAATAAGAAATGTTTTATAATATATTTTTTAAATTTTGATCGATAGTTCCCTAAACATGTTTAGATTCCTGCAGAGGAGGAGGAGCCTGCAGGGCCGAAGGCTCAAGTGTTTTTGGATGAAAAAGAAGCTGGAGATGTGTGAAGGAGACACCGCTGAGCTGAACACGAAGCACGGCCAGAAGGAGGGAAACGACCCATCTACCCCAAAAACCACATTTGTCTCATCTTTGTCTCTGTGAGTGTCTCCTCCTCCTCTTCCTCCCTCTCAGGTGTGTCTGCTTTATCCTGACACATCTCATCACATCGTCTCCTTCAGTCACAGCTCAGTGAGAGCTGCCGATATTAAATTTCCCCCTGATGTGAAACCAGAGCTGCCTCTGAGCTTCCTGGACCACATTTTCTTCTTCTCCCGGCGTAGCAACCGCCGCTCGAATCTGAGCCTGCTCATAACTCTGGACAAAGCCTCGGCGTGCCGGAGGCCCCGCTGCTAATTTTACTGCCCGCCGGAATCTGCTGGCGTGACGCCGACAGCAGCTGAGAGCAGGTGGGCGGCCTGCTGTTAGAGAACAGCTGCTCTCAGCATTTTTATACCTCCAGAAAATGTTCTCATTGTGCATATATGCATATTTAAAAATAGTCCTTGTCTGCACAAACTTGGCCACGATAATCTGAGATTTCAGTGAACTAAGTGAGACCCTGATATCTGACAGCTCTGAGGCTAAAATTTCAGCTTTAAAGATGTCATGATTGTAATGTGCTCTGAGGTTTTAAAAGTTCAGCCTCCATATGCAGGAATTATTTTATTTGCTGAAAATTTACAAAAACCTCCAACAGGCCCGTCAAACTAAAAACAAGAATTCTGATGAAAAAATGTGTTTTTGGTTTGTGAAACACTGATTTCGCAGCTCGTTCGTGCACAAGGAAACAGCTGAAGAGACGGTCAGAGAAAAAACATTTGCTGCTCCTACATCACCAATTTAACGCTTCATTTTTTGCCAGATTTAAACTGCAGATTTCTGCTGCAGACTTGCGACATAATAAACATTTTTAAAACATTCATTATTCCTTTGACATGTTTTCCCTAAACTGAGTTCATTAAACTGAACATTTTTAAGACAAGTTCAAACTTTACTGTTAGAAATTCACTAGTTTCTAACAGCTGACCATAAATCTGTCTGATGTGGTCTCTCTGCCTGTGGGAATAATATGAGGCAGAGGAGAGCATTATGTTTAAAGTCAAAGACACTCTGTAAGTTCTGTCCCCGGTGGGCATGTTTGGAAAGTTCCAGTTAAAAAAAAATCGAGTTATAGTAGCATTGATTTGATTCCATTACTTTTTGGTTTTTAATTGCACCTTCATATCACATTAGCAGAGCTGTGACACCAAGAGTGCAGCGGGCTGCAAAGTTACACAGTTTTGCAAGACTGAAGTCATTTCAAAAAGAAGCCAACAAAACGAGAATCCCACACACGATGTCACTACATAATTTTATCATATTTAGTCTGTGAAGGCGCAGATATCATATAAAAGTGGATTATTTTTATCAGCTGTAAAGTTTCTGTGCGGATCAGATTTTAACTGGAAGCTTAAATTTTATATTTTGACTGATTTTATACCAAAACTCAAATGTATGAGTTTGAAAATGTTTTGTAAAACATCTTTTTAATATTAGGAGAAAGTTGCTCATCAAATAAAAATGTGATCTGCTGCATACGTGTGCGTCTGTGTTTGATAGCTACCTTGGTTCTGGGATGGGAGAAGAACTTGTGGAGACGATCTGCTGGCGGCGGGGATGTGATCACCAAGGCCACAACACCACAGAGCGGCTCTATATAAAGGCTTCTCCGCGGGGGAGGGGCTCCAGAAATATATATATGTGTGTGTGTGTGTGCGTGTGCGTGAGTGTGTGTGTGTGTCATTTTTGCTACAGCCCAGCACTCTTGCATTTACGTTAAAGAAAAAAGAATCCAGTGCAATAATGTGCATTTTTATTGAGAGAAAGCAGTGCCTGAAGGCAGACTGAGTCAGTGATGAGATTTTAGATTTTAGATCATTTTTTAGAGAGCTCTTATTACAGCTTCCCCCAGATACATGTCAGTGTATTTTATTAACCTAATAATAATACAAGGAGGTCATACAGATAAGTACTGTATGGAATACTGCATTTCAAGGGCACTCTGTTACTGTTTTTCTGTAACACCATATGTTAAGATATTAGTGAAGACACTTGTAAATGAGAATTCATTA